GGGAACCGCCCTGCCTGGTTTCAGGACCTGTAACCCCACCATGGCTAAGGCTGAGTGAGCGACCTTTGGACCAGAAGCCACTAAGGAGACAAAGCTTATCTCCCTGGCAGGAGCACTCCTTCTGCTCCTCTTTTCATAAATGGTCCCCAATGCTTGATCTGTTAGCCAATGACAGGTAAGATTCCCCAAGGGGGGAATGACCTAAGATAGGCATGATCACGTGGAGGCCCCAGGGAAGGACTTGGGGGGCTATGGAGAAAGGGGGTGATGGGCCCTCACCCCTCGGCTTTGACAAAGCCTGAGTCCTCATTCTGCCTGAGAGATGTCTCCTATCTCTTGGCTGCCTCCCTTACTTCCCCTACCTGACTTAATCTTAAAACAATTGACAGAGGGCGGTTCAGCCTTGTGCTGGAAAGGGAGGGTTTCCCCAGGTGATCAGGCCTGAGAAAGAATACGTAAACTCTTATGAAACCTGCTTCGCTAAGAAAGCTCTTAATTAAATGATAAAAGTCTGGGCAGGAAATGAGTTTGCTTCCCAGAGTTTTGTAGCCCATTAGCTAACAGACCCTCACTCAAAATAGGCCCTCAGAGTTCTTTGTGTTATCTATTGTTTGATCCTTACTGCCTGACAATGATTAATGAACTTTACCTGTATTCCTGGGCAAATTAAAAGCCAATAAAAACCCTGTGAAGGAAGGATCGGGGCGCGCTCCTCTTAAGAGTGGCCAGGCAGCTCCGAGGCACCCTTCCCTTGAGAGGGTAGCCGTGCCGTCCCTTTTCCTCCACACAGGACTCAGTAGTCTGTGTGAATGTCTCATGTCTCATCCATGACACCACGGACACTGTGGGCCGGTGTCTGTATCAGATTACCTGACTGGATTGTTGCCAGAAAAAGAGAGAAAAGTCTATGATTTAAAAATGTGGTTTGAGTCAGCTCTATTGGATTTGCAAAATGAAGCAAGTAGGAACAACCACATGTATGTATTTTGAGTAACAGAGGTCAAAAGGTTGGCCTTCTTACATTCACAGTATGGGAAGAAGGTGGAAATGACACAGGAAAATGAATTGCTTTTAGTAAGAATTCAGAGTGGTCTTAGGAAATAATTTACCGATTCTCTGTTCATTCATCTGCAAAGATGGTTTTGAGATCACTGACTCTAGGCAGGTATAGTCATGCGTTCCCCTGTGTCAGTGGCCAGTCAAGTCTGAAAGACCTCTGAGATCTTAGCTTCTTTTCTGAGCAGTAGCCTATTAAGCACCCCCACCCCCTTCTCTAAAGTGAGAGAGCTTGTTCTCTCAACCTAGGTTTAACTCTAGAAGGTTGAGAGATGTCCATGCGTCCACAGGCAGGATGAAGTGCTTTTAAGCTGTGTTGTCTCCTTGGAGAGTAGCCCACACTCAGCCTGTGCACAGGCCCTGATGGCTTTGGGAGTCTGCTGTTCGGCAGTGGTATGGGCTGACCAGGGCACTGGTTCTTCTTTGGAGGCAGCAAAGTGGAGCAGCCCAGTGTTTTGTCACAGTCAGAGGCAGCCATGGAAGTTTAAGAACAGAATATAGCACTACTAAGATGTGAGCTGGAAGGGAGACAGGTACAGGGAGGAAACCACATCACCCAGAACCTTCCTTTCAGCAAACTGGGTCTGAATTATGGCATGTTAGTCAAGCTGTTAAACCAGGCATCCTGGGCCTGTCCTCTGCCTCTCACAGTCTCACCTGTCAGAGATGGGGGTAGGGGGCAAACCTTGGGGAGGGCTTCTCAGCCTATCTTCTCTAGCAGTCTAGAAGCCAGTGGGCTGAGAGGGACCTGTAATTGCAGTAGGAGATTTTGCTAGTGTGGGTGTCTAGGCTAGAGAGAAGAGGTGAGGCAAGGAAGTTACTCATGTAAAGAGCCCTTGCAAAACGGGCTCTCCTTACTTTTCCCTCCTGCTTTATCATAACCTGTGCCCACAGCTGTTTCCTGTACTTTCTTACCTCAGAATCAGAGTTTCACTCCTAATGTCTCCAAATTGGGAACAAGGGATGGCATAACCACAGTTTGTGAAAGATGGAAACTGTAGGTTATATAGACCTCAGGTGATTTCTTCATCTCAAGGCTCATCTCAACACCTACTGGGTTTAGGGGACAAAGAAGTTGCAAGTGAGTGATGCTTTCTCCCTGTGACCTGATTTTCAGAAGGGCTTTAGTCTCTGAACTGCAGCTATGTAGTTGGCTAACTAGGGAATGATATCTAACAGGATGTTTGATCACATAAGCCCTTGGCTATGTGGGCCTGAAAAGCATGGACTCACATGTTTGGCCTTACCCTCCTCTTGTATGTGTGTGTGCACATGTGTTTATATTCCCTGGGAATGCCTCCTGTCATCTCAGGGAGATTTTCTGTGATGCAGTGTGTCAAGAGAGTATATGCAAAGGGCCCTTATCAGGACTTCCTCACGCGCTGTCCTCCCTCCCCAGGCCAAGGTGGGTTCAGCTGAATCCTCATAGTCCTGCTCCATCACAATTGAGCTGCTTCACAGCTGTGCTGTATCACAGTTGAACTGTTTTGCACTGAATAATTTTTCTTACTGCAACCCAAATTAGGGATTCCTATTGGCCTTGAACTGGTCCCAACAACCATCAGTTGACAAAACCCTTAACTTAGTTCAATGCACAAGATGTTTGAGGCACTATTAGGTGTCCAATCTCAGTTGGCGCTTTCTTGATCAATAAACTTTCCTTACGCCAAACTCTGAGATTTTGAGTTTTGAGGCAAGGGGCACATGAACTTGGGTTCTATAAACAAACTTAGGTTTTAGAAACCTCCCTCTGGTGTAATGGATGAATTGCAAGGTGAGAAGCAATGGTAGGGAAACAAGTTTAAAAAAGACTGCTGCAAAGGTGCAGGTGAGATAATGGTTAGAAGCTGAACTAGTTAGAGATTAATGAAAAGATTTAAGAAATATTTGAGATATTGGGACCAAGAGATGTGATAGTGGGAGAGGAGAAAGTAGAAAGAGTTTTGGATGATTCTAGAGTTGTGACTTTGAAGATTGCAGCGGGCAGAAAGAGAAGAAAGAGGTTTTGTTAGTGTTCCTGTGTGTGTCAGGAGGCAAAGAGTAGGAATGAAACTATTAATTTTAGCTTGGGGTACAATGAGTTTAGGAGCTCAGATATTGTGAGAAATAAAAATAAAAGTTGCAGTTCAGGAGATGAAAACTAAGAGATACTTGAAGTAAAGGTACTCGGAAATTCAGAGCATGGATTGCATATGAGGGATAAGTGTTAGGGATAATTATTAACTTCTATTTTCCTGAGTAGAGGACAAGTTTTGTTTGATCTTTGGTTACACATTTTTCATGTGGCACTTATTAAATTACAACTTTAAAAATTGTGTCTCCTTTTAAGATTAAATTACTATGCCCTGGCCAAGTAGATTAGAGCATCATCCCAATAGGCCAAGGCTATGGGTTTGATCCAGGGTCAGGGAACATATAAAAAGTAACCAATGACTGCATCAATAAGAAGAACAACAAATCAATGTTTCACTCTCTCTCTCTCTGCCTTCCTCTCTAAATATCAATCAATAAATACAAATTTTAAAAGAGTGAATTATTGAACATAAACAAATATGACCTATGAAGCCTGTAAATACTGTTAAATATTCTCAACACAGATTACAAGGCACAAACATATATTAAGGAGATGAATTTATCTTTGTTGTGAAATTAGCACAGGACAATTTCTTTTCTAATCTGCACTTTATTATTCTTTAAAAGAATGCTACAATAACTTCCAGTTCCTGCTCCATACAGAGCCATTCCCTCCAACATGGTCCCTAATTATTGGGTTGGCCAAGAGGTTCGTAATGTTTTTTCCATTAAATAAAAGATACAGTTTTCATTTTCACCAATAACTCCATTGATTTGGATATTTTGAGTATGTTGGCTATCTGCCACCATTGACTTCTAGTAGGTAGAGGCCAGGGGTGTTGCTAAACATCGTCCAGTGCATAAGACAACCCCACAGCAAAGAATTATTTGGCCAAAATGTCAAGAGTACCAAGGAACTTCACAAACCAGCACCTTCTCCATACACAGCACAAATCTTTTTTTGCATCTGAGTTGTATTTTTACTTTTCTTGAAATAATAAAGCATAATATGCCAAAAATGTTGCATATCTTCTTCCATTTTCAGTATTAAAATGTCTGCACAAAAATTCACCAATTTGGATGTTTTTAAAAAAATGCACGCTGATTTGACAGCTGTCACAATACAATCTAACGAAATTGTTTTGAATGAAGTTAAAGACAACCATGCACTACTAGAGCCATGGTATGGAAAAATGTAATGGACTTTTTGGCCAACTCAATATTTCATTATAGCACATTGTAAATAGTACAAGTGTTGCAATTTCACCTCTTTCTTCCAAACTAAATTAACATTAATTGTATGCAACAATGAAACAAAACATAGTAATAAGAACACAGTGATATAAGGCTGTATTTATCTACTACTAATGCCAGGCACTGTGTTAAACATTTGCTTACAGTATCTCCTTTAAATCTTATAACATCCTTTAAAGACGAGGAAACTGGCTTAGAGCGGGTATGATTATCTGACAAGCAGAGAAAATTAGGATCAAACCTGGAAGAGATAGTGCTCTTGTCTTACAGCATCTTTTAATGGTTATTAGCCACCCTGCAGGGATTCTGACCCAACCGTACTACGTGTTTTCTGTGACCTTGTTGGAGTAACTTTATTAATAGCAGTGGCAGTCCTTCACCTACAGACCAAATACCCTGCACGGTTTCGTGAGGGGAGTCACCTTCCTACTAATCTGTCTTGGTTTAAATTTCAGGACTGGTAACACCGGTGCCTTTCGGAGCTGACGCTAGTTTTTAATCTGAGATCAACTGGTTGAGATAACGGATAAACAGTTTAACGTATCTGCTACCTCTGGCAGGTTCCTGACAGATCTCTCTACAACACCCACTCCCGCCGCTCCACCCACGGAACGCACCCGACTCACCCGCGCGGGTCCTGGGCTCCTCGCCGGCGGGCGCGCGCCACCCCGCAGACCGCGCAGGGCCCCGAGCGCGTGCAAGCGCGCCGCGCAGCTCCTCAGCATGGCTCTCAGGGTGCGCGAGAATCTGGCCTGAACGGAGACAACTGACGGGGCAGAGGCTACCTCCGACTCACCCAGCAGCCCGCTCGCAGTTCCGCTTCATCCACTGAGAGGAGGGCGGAGCCTGACGTAAAGGTCCCGCGTTTGGGAGGGGCTGTGGGCCGGCAAGGACGCGGTGACCCGGTGACCCGCAGCAGCTGTCCGGCGTTGGTGGGGCTAGGGTGCCCAGAGGGTGGGCCTCGCCCCGCCCCGCCCCCTCGACTCCGCGCCTGCGTGCTGAGAGGTGCAGGAGTCTCGAGCCCTTGTCGAGCGGTCCCCCACCGCACCCCGCCGCGCTGCCTTGTTCCCGAGTAGATGTTCCTCTAAATATTTACTCAATATTGATGTAACTACAGAAAACTTTATGTATAGGCAACGAACACATGGGCTTTACTATAACAGAATTCGGCGTTATAACTAGCTCAAACATGAAGTTACTCTTTGCTTTTGTCCTAACCTATTTAGTGTTGCACCATCAGACCCCTTTCCATAGCTTTTTACTGTGTAAATAGATGATTCCTCCCCTTTAGACAGGTGAAACCAAAAAAGCCCAAATTTCCAACGTTAAATAGGATTATCAGATTCTAAAGTTGCAGCAGATGTAACATCAGAAAGGTTATGGGAAACTCTTCCTTAAGCTTTTTACATTAGTACTACAGAAAGTTTCAGTGCTGGTGCAAAGAATAGACAGGTTTCTCATCCAACTTTATTTAAATCTTAAATTCTGTGACAGATTTTTGGTGAAGTTATTTCCACTAAAAAGTACTGATAAAAAACTAATAACTTAAATAGTGCCATTCACACACACACAAACCCAAATGGTCCACAAAACATTCTCTTCTCCTTCTGAAGCTTTTACCATGCATTGTAATCATTAACCAGTGTTTGTCTACTAAACCTAAATGGTCAGTTGTGATAGATAGTTCTGAGACTTCCACCCCGATTAAGACTGAGGTGACAGGTATTGGGGATAAATACCCATTTAGCCTTCTGAGCTTTCTGGGCAGCTTGGTGACTTTGCCACCTCCAGCTGCCTTCTGTCTATCTAATGCCAACCAAGCTGTTAGATGAAGATTCTGGTAATGAGTGAGGTCAGCTGAACCAGATAAACAGCATTCTTTACAGAATTTTGGTTTAAGAAAGGTTATTTTTGCCTTGGTATGCCATGAGTAATAAAAGCACCATTCATAAATACTTATAAATGTTCAATACAGATTTTAAGTCTCTAACATGTGACTAGAGAAACAAATCCACTTCTGTAGCTGTGGCATTACTGTAAGCCGTGGTGCCTTTACTATTGTATAAAAGCATTTAGGATTAGACACTAATCCAAATGCCTTAACAAACTTGAAAAAGAAAGCTACAATAGATTCATAGTGAAACTGTTCTTGTATCCCTGAGCAGGTAAAGTCTGAGTGAAGTCTTGAGAGCAAGTAGGAGTTGGCCCAGCAAATAAAGCAGGAGTAAACATGCAGGTGTGGGGGTTCCAAGAGCGAGTCACCATGTTAAAGGAGAGTGTGGAATCACTCGGCAAGTTTAGGGAAGCACCAATAGTTTCTGTGGTGTCTGGGCATCAGGTAGGAGGGAGATGCAGGGAGAAAAGAGTCTGGGGAAGCAGGCAGGGCCTTCAGTATCCTGAAGGACTATCACCATCCATACTAATGTGTGTGGGGTTTACTACCTAGGCAGTGTGAAGCCACAGAAGGACTGTTAGCAGACAAGTAACATCTGATTTATATCTTAGAAATATCATGATGGAGGCTCTGTGGAAGTTGCATTGGAATTGGGTACTCTGTTGGGATTGGTGGCAGTGAAGAGATTTGGTACTAGATGAGACATGAGGCATGGGAGAGGAGGAGTCACAATGCCATCCAGGTTTCCTGGCTTTCATGGCGTGGTGGTGGTGGAGGGTACTCTTCAAAGTGGGAGAAAGAAGTGTGTTTAGTGGCAAAGGAAAGTGAGTTCTGTCTTAGACTATAATAAATTAGAGACCTGTGGAAGGGTTCAGGGGGCAAATAGAAAAGTCAGGAACTTGACTGTAAGACCTGAAAATGTCCTTTGAAGGTAGGATGGTAAGAAGCTAGGCAGAGTGGAGTAAGTGGAATGGGGAAACTGAGACAAGGAATTAAACAAGGCCAAACAGTTTGGACAACTTATAGCCCACTAGTGAATCGCAAGACCTTATCTTCCCTAACCAAGGATACTTGAGAGCAAACGGTTTATACTTCTCTTCCCTAACCAGAGAATACATAGCTTAAATCATCCAATTAATGCCATTTGTGCCAGCTAAACCCAAGGATGGATGAAGTCAAGGGAACAAATGACAAAAATCTGATTAGAGCCAGACAGACCCAACATAAAAGTAAAACAGTAAAGTGGACCAAAAAATAATCCCAAACCTTCCCATACGCTAATTTAGATGCATCAGCATAATAAAAATGCACCTGGAAAGCTGATGAATATTCTGCTGAAACCCTCCCCTGATTCTTGCCTGAAGAAGAGAGATATAAACCTTGAAGACAAAATCTCTGTGGGCTCACTCTAGAGCATACTCATGCCCCTTCTTGGGCATGAACTTTGTACTTCTAAACTCTAAGATCCCCATCAGACTTGCAACTAGGGGAGCAGTGAGCAGTGGCAGCTCGTCCTGGGCTTACCCCCTGCTGGGTTAAAGGGATGTTGAGAATCCTCCCTGTTTATGCCTGAGCCACGGCTCAGCTCAGGACCTTTATTGTAAGGGTGAAATACAGGCATGCTCGCTCCCAGGGAGAACTGGCCTTTCTTCCTGGGAGGTTAGTATGTTTGATCTTTAACTGTTCCTTTGGGGGGAATTGGCCCTTCTCCCAGAGGCACCTGTTGGTTAGGTAAGTCATGAAAGGTCCTTGGTGCCTATAGCCACTTTTGTCTAAAACATATTTAACCATAGCCCCCAAAGTGAGACTTTAGAATCTCACCCGAGGGAAGGATGCTTTGCTCAGAACTTTCCTAGTCGAACCCTAAATGCTGTCTCTGGGGTTCCCCAGTATCTATGTTCGGGTGTTGGTGAACTCCTGTCTGGTGATGTATGCTCTTGATTCTTGCTTTTGCTTTGCTCTCGCTTAATAAAGTGCTTAGTTACTCATATTAGACTTGGGGTTTTTATTGTCTGTGAATCTGAACCTCCAAATTAAGTGGCTATGATCTCATACATGCTCCTTAATGACATAAAATTGGCGTCACGAACAGGATTCGAGGACAATATGCCCTTTTTGCATAAGCCTGAAGTGAAGTGTGTGATTTGTGAAGTGCCAGGTTGGGAGGACTTGCTGTTCTCCCAGGTTGCACAAGAATGGGCCAAGGGAATGGGCCTCTGTGAGGACTGGGGAGCAAGGTGAAGACTGGGGAACTGCCCCAGTTAGAATGCCTCCAGGCAGTGCCTATAGAGAAAGGAAAGGAAACGGCATCTGCTGCTGGGGTTGGGTTGCTTTAACTGCATATCAAAAGTGTCATGAAAGGAAAGAGCAGGTCCTGCAGGAAAAAACTTCAGCTCGAGTGAGAGCTCGAAGATTTGCAGGAGAATCATATACTCCCTTTGAGCAGCAACTTCTTGCTGCTTACTGGGCTTTGATGGAAATGGAACAGTTAACTGTGAGACATGATATCCTAGTATAACCTGGGATCCCCATTATGAAATGTATTTTGAGTGCCCCAGCATCCCACAAAATTGGACATGCCCAAGAAGCCAGTATAATTTGTGGGAGAACTCCGTACTTCAGAGCTCTCCTGACCACCGCAGATGAGAGTAAGTCGTCTGGGACACAATCTGTTGTTCTGTCAGGAGAGTGGGTGGTGATTCCCTCTAGTGGAGAATGCCTGGATCACTTCTCTGAAATGGCTTTTACTGGGAATGGTTTGTGTAGGGGTATACAGCATACATGCATAGCTCATCAATCAATGTCAAAAGGTTATAGTTATACAAAAAACAGGTATTATCTATAGATAACAATTGAAGGAACACAGAGATCTGTCTCAGGGTCTGTGTCTGTTAGTCATGCTGATGCCAGAGGGTCTTTAAGACGAGTTTCATGAGATAAGGAGTTTACTTCTGCCTTGAACTTAAACATCTGGTTTATATCAACAGGGCTATATAAAGCAAAGCAAGCTTCAAAGGACAAAATGTATTTATCAGCTCTGATTTTCCCACGGGAACCCTCAGTTTTGGTGTTGGGTCATACCTGCCACCTGTGTTTCCTGGTTTTCCAGTGAGACTTACTGGCCTCTTTCAAGGCTCGCTCTCGTGAGGCTACAGTCTCTGAAACCACACAGAGAGGTCCCCAACATCTCCCCCTTTTTTGTTTGTTAAGGCAGGCACAGTGGCAAGTTTGATGAGGCCTGCTACTTGCCTTTCATGTATATGATCTCTGGAAAATAATTTGCATATACATTTCAAGGCACAAAAGACCACAAGGATTAGGAGGCATCCCATGGTCCCAATGACCCAGACATGCAAATTTAGTTCTTTAAATCAAGTTTTTGGATTGAGCTATTGTAACTTGTCCTGCAGGTTCTGAAAGACCTCCTGATCAGTAAGTCACTTAATGTTCTGAAGTTGTTGACGTAACTCACACTGGAGTCGATCGATTTGTCCCTTGAGATTGGAGGTAAAGGCCCCTCACAAGTGATGATGGACCTTCTCTCTTGAGTGCTGACTGGAGTTCCACTTCAGGGGGGTGACATACAGCTTAGAGAAGCTTGGATCACAAGTGAGTTGTTGGTGAGTGACAAGAGCATCGTCATCATCTGTACTATTTTTTCCTGGATCGGGGGGGTCCAATGGAACCGAGGTGGGTCATGGAGTAGGGTAGCCTTTTCTATGAGATGGTTTCAACTTCTTCGCCAGCAGCTCCAAGAGTCCTTCTGGAGAGGAGACATAAGCATATCCTCTTCCTCAAGTTAGTAAATTAACAGTTCCTTTGTGGCTGGTGAGGGTGAAAAAGCTATTCAATGATTTCAAATTTTGAGGTTAACTGTCTAGTTTGAATTGCTTGATTGACAAGACTTAGCTCAGTTCCAGTGAGCGGGGGAGATGTCTCAGTGAGGTCAATATGGTGTCTCCTTTGAAAGTAGCAAATAAATTAGTAAACAGGTGTTATCAAGGTTTTAATTAGAGCTTTCCAATCACATGGAATCATGTGAT